AACCTGATGGGTGTCCATTACTTAACCAATACACCTTATTGTATTTCACTATTTAACAGCCTAGTAGGTGATCCCAGTAACAGCAGCAAAACTGTTTAGTTGGGCTTTAATCTCCCTTTCGTAGTCAATAACACCCATGCCTTATATTTAAATTGTAAATGTAAATTATTTAAATAAAAGGTATTAAAACTTGTTATAGCTTTCCTTTATCTTTTCAATCTGTTGGTCTCAAAACACAGAGTTGAATTCATGTGTGTGTCTGCGTGTGTGTAAGCAATATGCTTTGAGCATAATTTCAAATGTTTCCTAAAGTATTTACCAATAATGAAACCATATTTGTATGTACAGAGTTTTTCCTAAAAGAGAAGGAATAGAAACATTTTATAGACTCTCACATATCAATATAAATATTTATATCCAGACATACTTCACACATATATAGCCACGAAATAAATATCAAATGTAAAATCCTAATCAGCCATCCATTTTTCTACTATATGTAGTATCAAGTTAACCTATATGCTATAATTTCTTTTTCTCAACAGTGTTTTAAAATCTATATCATTGGCAAAATTAATGATGCTAACAATAGAATTAATTTATGCCCGAGAAGGAGGATGTATCATGTACTCTCTCAAAAAACTATAATTATAACTCTAAAGTGAATCAGAGACATATATAAACTATAGATATGTGCATGTATTGGGGGCTCTCACTTAATTCTAGCCTCTAAGTTCTTATGATGCAGCCATAAAGCTCTTAAAGGTTTGTCTTAAAATAAGCAGCACATCAGCCTGTAGGATCCAAGGATTGTAAATAATAACATCGAAATCTGAAGGAAGAAACGATATCAGCACTTGAATTTTAAAGACGCAGTTTGCAATCATTGGGCTGATCACCACAAGGTCGGCAGTTTGAAACCACAAGGCAGATCCTGGGAGAAAGAGGCGGCTTTGTACTCTGGAAATGAGTTAGCGTCTTGGAAACTCCCGGCTGTATATCCATCCTACTTTAGAGGGTCACTGTGAGCTTGCTTGTCGTTTTTATCGTACAGAGTGGAAGTTCAAAATCCATTTGTGGGGTCACCACGTGGCTGAAGCCTCCAGGGAATTCCCTCTGACCACGTCGACATTTGTGAATAGCTTCGCTATCAGACAGACAGCATTGTCGAATCAACGATGGCAGATGTGATTAGAATGTGGAAATTACCATATGATAGACAGGGTTAAAATGTAACACCTCATCGTTTGCTCTCCCTTTTGGCCCATTTTAAAATTGTTGCAGTTTGTACTACTTTTTGCTTTCTTTTCAATAGAGGTTTTCCTGTTTTGTTTAGTCATTATTGTCATTGTTTTTGTTTGCTGACTTGCTTCCTGTTTGCATTTTGTATGATTTTCTGTACATGAAGTCCAGGATGGGTGGATCCATAGAGACAGTAACTGGGTTGATAATTACCTGGGGATAGGGCAGGGAGAAGGGAGGAAAATGGCGCGCTCACAGCAATGACTGAGAGAAGAAAATGTTTTTAAATTGATTGTGATGATGACTGCACATCTCTTCTTGATATGATTGAATGATTAAACTGTAAGACATCTGTAGCCAATGCCAATAAAACAATTTTTAAAAAAATAAATGGGAGTCAAGTCTTTAATAATTTATCCCAACAAATTTTTACATTTATTCATATTCCTTTTCACAGAAAAATTACTATATTGATCAGTTTCTATTTGGTCATTGATAATTCTTTAATAAAAATACCTATATGGTAGTAGTTTTAAAAAGCCATGATCCAATATTTGAACATAAAGTACTATATTTTAAAGTTAACTCGGAGAAGACCCCTTTCCTCCTTCCTGAAGCAGGTATGTCGGACAAGATCCATAAACATGGCATTAAATATTAGAAAGACTTAGCACTTAACTGAAATCCTTATTAATTTCAGTACCCAGGGACAGGTCTAGTCAATATCAATTAGCAGCTTTATAATGTTTTACATATTAAAATCCAGTATTCTGTTTATCCTAGATTGTCTGGGGATCATCTAGTATATTAAAAGGTTCTTACACAGTTTCTTAGAGCTTTCACTGCTACCATTCTGCCTGCTAGCAATTTTGCAACATCTCTGATAAATATTTTCCATAAATCAAACCCATAACAGCATGGAGAAGCAGATGGCAGGAGACCATATTTTTTAATGTAGCAATTATTTTCATTAATAGGGAAATATTGGATCATCATTTTCAGCATGGACTAAATAGTGAACAGTTGTCAGTTGTGAATTTTTGTGGCTGTTAAGTATCTGTTCAGATGGTTAACCCACATTCTGTATTTTTCAATGCAGTTTATGTAAAAAGGCAAAACACAGTATACAGTAAAACAATTATTATATCCTTTCATTTTTAATATGCAATAAAATGTTGGGGCATTTGAAAACAATTTGTACAACAATTCATGTGTGTTAACCCACACTTGTGTTCTTCATTTCTTGTAGAAAATAAGATATACTGCTTTGTTTTTAAAAATGAGAAATAACAATAATTACAAACGCTATAGTCTTAATATGCTAACAATATTTTCTTGATCTATCCAGTGTTTGATTAAAATTATAGGAATACTATTTCAACTATTCATATATCTAACCATAGGATATCAAGTAATTTTAACGACATTGTTATTATTTATATCAAGCAACAGAATTCCTTTTGGTTTTGTGTGTCATAAGCAACAGAAAGCTGTCCCTATGGCACGTGAAACTGTTCAGCAAGATCTTTGGTTTCAGTTAGCTTTTAAAATTTGGAGTCCACATGTTCAAAAGCAATGTAATACATAATTTCCTGATTATACTTCCATCTTTCAGCAGAATAATAATCTCCCCTTTCTTTACACGGCTTCTATTTAATAATACGAACGCTCCAGCTTTAAATAGCACACAAACAAAATGAATTTGAGTGAAAAGAAAATGAAAATAGAAAAATTCGGACATAAAATGGTCATGAAAGAATGAGGGAGGCGCCCTTTAAACACAAAAAGCCTGAACTTCACTCTTGAATCTGTTGCATCGATGGAAGGGTGGGGATGGCAGGAGTGGATGGGTTGGGGAGACATTTTACAGGGGTGTTCATCAGTAGCAAACACAGTACAAGTCATTTTGGTATGTAGAAACACACACGTAAGTCCTTTTGTAAAAAGAAGAAAGAGTTCCCTTTTATGTATAAACAGTAATAGCTCATTACTAAAGTGGCTAAAGGCAGGAGGAGGTGCTTAAAAAACAAAACAGGTAACTTTTCTGATCATCTGCTACACACGCAGAGTCTGTATGAGCCTCCAGGAGAAAAGCTATGTAGCACAGAAAATTGTTAGGAAAAACCATCTGTTCTCAATGTTTCAATAGTTTGCAACTTAAAATGCTAAATGCTAAATTATTACAATGATTCATGATGATAGGTGAAGAAGGGCTGTAGGGCCCATGAGCTCAACAACACTCCAAATGTGCTTAGTATTTATCAAGTAAATGCAATGAAATCTACATATACACAATCAGACCAACTCACATGGACATGCTGTGTTCACCAAGGGAAAATAAGATTCAATGTGCTGGAGTGACACAGAGGCAAATGATATAATTCCATGGAGTCTGTACAGATTGTGTCATTACCAATACTGAAGGACAATTCAATCCTTCCGTTTTTTTCCCCAAACACAGATTCCTTGATTCTGGTTTTTGTGCACATGTTCAGTATTAGAAGATCAGCATTTATTAGCCTGGAGATGTTATGGAGATGTTATCAAAACATTGAAACAATTATGTCACTTTTATATGCAAATATAAAAATACCTCAATATCAAAATAAAAATATCTATAATTTTCATGATATATTGAAGCATACAACTTCCAACTGGATTTGTGAAGACAAAGGAAAAAACCTATTCTTTTTCTCATTTCCATTTAAGAAATCTGACGTCTCCCCTAACATTTAGGTAAATAGCTCACCAAACAGAAACATATTGTGTCTTTCTTATTTATGTTTTAAGTTGTTAGATATTTTAGGTATCACTGTATGGATGGGTTTTGAGTTAAAAAAAGGAGGAGTGTCCCTTCAAAATGTCTTTAGTTCATCTGCTTTCTAAAATTAGTACTATTTAGAGCTCTTTACTTCTACAGAGAAGTTCTCATCATCCCGAGCGCGTCTGTAAATTAAGGCATGATCAAGTTGACATGGGGAAAGTTCAAAAGAATATGGTAGTTTTCTTTTTAAGTTATATATCGATATATGTTTGTAGGAAGTCTTCATTATTTTAAGATAATTGTGATTTGGAAAGCCTATTTATTCTGAATCTATTTAAAAGGGTTAACATTTTATAATAGAAAGAAGAATGATAGAGGTTATCTGAAAAAATAATTTATAATATTAAGAAAGCTACTTGACTTTAGTTTTTATACTTTATATTAAAATTGTAATTTTGTATGTACTCTTGGAACAAGTCATGATTGATAGTTTATTAATGGACTCATGATATCTGACACATTTTTAAAATGACAAAACTGTTTGGTCAACAATATGCTGTCTTTTACTGCCACCACTTTGTTTTCTGCAAACATAAATTAGATCTTCATCAATTTCCCCAGGGGTTGATCTTGATTCCTAAATATTTAAACAATGAACTTTTGAAATTTAGTTGGCTTTATCCCCCAAAAAAAGTGATTGTGGGATAGTTAGAAAAATACTAACTCAGAAACACAGAGCGGGCATCATTGCTAATGTTGAGTGGAAAGGGGATGTCTTTTTTAAATGAACCGCTTTCTTTTTTTTTTTTTTCTTAACATTTTATTAGGGGCTCATACAACTGTTATCCCAATCCATA